CATCAAGGGTTTTCCTGCAGGGCAAGAGAGCTGTTTGTGCCAGGCTGGCTGGACCACTTGGCAGATCTTGGAGGAGAGCCTGCTTTTCTCTCGGTGGCAGCCTTGGGCAGGTGGGCTGCCCCGTTTGCTGCCCATTGTTGCTCCAGCTTTCATCTTATTTTCTGCTGCAGAGCAAACAAGGAAACGCCTCGAGTCCCCCAGCTTGGGGGTAATGCAGGGTCTGTGGTGGGCACCCCCCTGCAGCATTCGTTCCTGACCGATGTCTCCGATGTGTATGCGATGGAAGGGGGTCTCCTTAACCTGCTGAATGACTTCCATTCAGGCAAGCTGCAAGCTTTTGGTAAGGCCTGTGATGGGGTAGATGGCTGATGATGGTGTATTTCTGGATTGTGTGTTATGCTGGGCGGAGAGAGACTAGGTGGGTTCAAATCCCAAATTCCTGGCGATCTCTGGATAACCCTTTTCTTAACTTAATCCTATTTCATTAAAAGGAGCCCTGAGATGTCTCTTGAGCAACTTAGTATCATTCCATTTTTTATTATGATTTCATTTATTCATAAAATCATAATTTTTACTCTGCCCTTTAAGCAAAAAGCCTTCTGCCTAGCTTAATACAGCGACCACAGCCCTTGCACTGCAGTTTAAATGACACAGCACACAAGGAAAAAGGGAAGAGGAAGGTAGAGAAGAAAAGCAAACTTGGGCACCTGCTTTTAAAATTTTAGGTAAAGATAGCTGGTCAAGAAAGGCTGTTGGCCACTTATGAAGTCAGAGATGGATTACATGGATAGTTGGACCTTCTTCCCCCTCCTTAGTTCCTCCCCTACTGATTCTCTTGTCTCACTTAAGATAAAACTTGCATCCACTTGCCAGCCTCCGCTGCACGAATCCTTGGCTAGATTCATTTCTACCTCAAAAGGGCCACGTCATTCACCCATTTATCCATGTGGAAGAAGGTTGTCCTGTCTTTCTAATAATTCTCTCACTGCAACAATTAATATTCCTCGGACTTGACGGGGACAGAAAAATGGTCACAATATCAGTTCTTTTTATTTTCCCCAGAAGATATGGCAGAATAGCCTTCCTTAGCAACTTACATACGGGCTAATTGTATATGGACATGTATCTAAGCTCCATCTTTGGAGGGGAGGGTGTAACTTCAGTTAGGTCTCTGCAAGGGTTACGTTCTTTTGACAGTTTGGTTCTGCATTTCTGAGGGTTCCAGTAGTAGATTTGGTCTGTACTTTTACCAACTGTAATGCTTTCGATTTGGAGGGTGTGGTTCGGAATGGTCTGTTTAACGTACCGTGCGGGTCTGGAGGTGATTGTTGTGTTGGGTAGGGCCATCCTACACTTAGGGTCTGTATGCGGACGGGTCTTTCCGGTGAGGCAAGCCGGGCGCGATGTTCCCTTTCCCCCTTTGGCTGACCTCTGCTCTGCGGCCCTGTCCGCGCCGTGCCCACTGCAGGGAGAGAATGTTCTTTCGAGCAGCTGGAACACGTTCGGGAGATGCAAGAGAAACTCGCCCGCCTGCACTTCAGCCTCGACGTCTACGTGGAGGAACTCGCGGAAGATCAGAAGAAAACGGTAGCCGACAGGAATCTGGATCAGCTGCTGACCAACGTGAGTGCCCCCGGCAACTGCCGTCTCCTCTTCCCCAGGAGACCCCTCCCTCTCCGGTCCCACTTCTCCCTTCGGCTTGGGACTAAGATAAGTTGTGCTGTTCAGGATGACCGATGGGCCCGGTGAGGATGGCCGTTCAAAATGCAAACGGCCGTTGCCCCGAATGGCTGGAACGGTGGTCAGCATCCCCTTTTGATGGTTGTTCCCTAGCATGTTCCTCCCCAACCCAGTGGGAACCATTTGATTTGGACTTCAGCTGCAGGAAGCCCCAGTCAGCAATGCATCTGGGGGAAAGTAACCCCACCACTTGCCCTCTGGGCCCTTGCTTAAGTTGGTGGTGATTTATAGGTTGGGTTTGCCCCAAATCCAGCCTAGACTAAAGTGGGTTTGTTTTTTGAAGTTCAGTGGCTGGAGTGATGCAACACCCTAAAACATAAAGTCGGACTCCCTGTTTCATGGATCCAGCACCTCAAGATGAAATGGTTATGGAGGTCAACAGCCCTCAGGGGCCAGAGGGGAGGGGGCCCACCTGCCAGTCGCAGCTCCCACCCGCCAGTTTGAGAAGAGCATCATCTCCAGTGAAATGAAGCTCAATCCTTTTCTGCTGCAGAGTTTGGAACGGCCTCCTGTGGCGGCAGGACAAGAGAAGGCGGGGAGGTTGGGGGGCTGGGGCAGGTTGGAGACGATGCCGTGCGTTCATGTCCTCCAGAATCAGTAAGACTGTCCTTGGCCAGAGCGAGGGGGATGTGTGGAGCAGCCCGAAGATGCTGGCTGGGTTCCCACAACACGCTGAAGACCAGCCACGCATCCCCTGCCCCCAGTTAGCCTAGCCGAAGACAGAGCCTTAGTGGCCTTGCAGGAAGGGGGGTGAAACGGGCTGAGATGAGGTGGGGAGAGGCTAAATCTCCTCTCCACTTGTCTCTGGTGGTGCCAAACCCAGTCTGGCCACCACAGATTCTTACCTTGTGCCATCTTTTAATTTAAACTGTTTGCCTCAACTCCCTGAATGAAGGACAGTTGGCCATCTTCCACAGAGGCTGTGACTGGCTCACGCGTGACGTGATCTTGGAAAAGGCCTCTTCTGCGGTTTTGCTCTGTGGGAACAGCTTCTCACATATGTTCACAATGCTTTTTTTCCTTTTTCTTTTTCATTTGCTTCTGCAGCTGGAAGAACTCAGCAATTCCATGTATCCTTCTTGCAGGGCCCAAGTGTGGTTCTCCTGGCATATTGGTGGCGGGGGGAGAGGAGGAGGGATGTGAATGGGAGGCAGAAGGACAGAGTAGCCCTGTGGCTCACCGTGGCCAGTGAGGAGGAAACGCATGGGCACCCACGTGGATGGTGACATCCATGTGCGGTGACATCACGGTGCATGGGACTTCATTGTGGTTTGTCCAGGACACCTAAGTCCAAGTGACAAGACGCCAGTCTCTGGCCTACAACAAATCTAATTAATATAATATCTCTGCCGTTGGAGGACTTGTACAAAGTACTATAAGTGAGCCTCTCTCTCCCATCAACAACCTGGGGACAAAAATGCTGATTTACCTTAGACGTTTGGTTACCCCAACACAGCAGTCCAGGCTAAAATGGGCCTGGGTGGCTTGTGTGTGGTGTGTGTGGTGTGAAATAAGGAGGAATTTCCTGGCAGAACTATTAAGCAGTGGAACAGTTTGCCTCTCGGAGCTGTGGGTGCTCCATCGCTGGAGGTTTTCAAGAAAAGATTGGACAACTATTTGTCTGAGATGGTATGAGGACTCTTCCTTGGTCCTCCAAGGTCCCTTCCAATCCTACGATTCTATGAGCCCAGCCATTGAATTGTTATGAGTGCCCACCTGGTTTAAGGGTGCTGAATTTGGACTATGGAGACCACGGTTCAAATCCTCACTCAGTCATGAAGCTCGCAGGTTGATCTTGGGAACTGTGTGCAGACCCTTCATGAGCCAGGTTGCACCTCCCAAGTCCAGACAGCAGCCTTAGCAGATGTTTGTGCCCACCCTTCCAAATATACATGATGGTGTGGATGCTATTTCTCAACGTTGATGGTACGTGCTGCAGATTTAGTAGAGATCTGTGATCTAAACTAAGTCAGCATGGCTGATGTTCATTACAATATTATGCTTCCTAGGAGGAACCAGTGGCAGAGACTTCCTGGGTGGGTGGGAGTCATAAAAGCCAAGATGATGGCTGCAACCACCCAATGGAAGCCTTGCACCTTCGTTTACGCGTGTTGCATCTGCAAAAAAGGAGTGGGACTTTGATTGTGCATCGTGGCTGCCATCTTGACTTCTTAAACACCCCTCACAGAGACTCCTGAAAAGCAACCTTGCGTTGTTCAGCTGTTGTGGATTGCTGCTCCCATAATCCCTTGCTGTTGGCCCAGCATTTCTCAACCTTGACAACTTGAAGATGTGTGGACTTCAACTCCCAGAATTTCCCAGCCAGCATGGGGAATTCTGGGAGTTGAAGTCCACACATCTTCAAGTTGTCAAGGTTGAGAAACATTATGTTGGCCATTTGGGCTGGGACCGATAGGAGTTGAAGTCCAAAGCTTCAGAAAGGCAGCTGGTCTATCTGAGCTAAAGAAGCAGTTTGGAAGCAGTTCCTTCTCCTTTTTCCCTTAATGCTTCACCTTAGACAGAAGCTCCACCTGGCTGAGCATCCTGATCTGGAAGAAGCATCCAATGCCTAGAAGAGGCATCGGGAGGGGCCAGGCTCTGAGGAGGCCTTGAGAAGCAATGGATAAGGATGCCTGGCAGGAGGCTGCTTCACACCTGGGCCATGAATGGTCTGTAAAAAGTTGAGGGAGGGAGGCAGAGCTATGCAAGCAGGACCGGAGATCTGCAGGAGACAGAACGCTCGATGGGAAAGAGCCCGTTCTGCGTGGCTACTGAAGAGAGGAGGAATCAAGGAAGGAAAATGAAAGGGGCCAGCGAGGAGGCAGGTCCTCTGCACCTGAACTTGCAGATAAGCCCCGAGTTGGGCCGAGAGCCCCCCTTTCGCTCAGGTGCGGCAAAAGGTCTCGTGCGGCGAAGAAGACACAGCCCAGAATTGCTTAGGTTTTCCTTCCTTCTTGCCCTGTCGCTCCAGTTTCCACACTGGACAGGACTCTTCTGAGATCTGCGATGAGCAGCAGACGTAACACCCGTGGCCTCGCGCTCCGGCTCCTCCTGCTGTGTGAGCTGCCCACCTCCCATTTTTAATTTTTTTCTTTTGTAATGCCGCATGAGTTTAATCTCCTGCATCCTGTGCCTGCCCTGCATATAGCTTTAGTTTCAGGGCAATATATTATTCCTTTCTAAAAACACAATTAGTATATTAAGGGTAGGACAATTGCTTTGCTTTCCCTTGTCCTACCCACAGTATATTAAGGGTAGGACAAGGGAAGGGCTTGGAAGAAGCAGTCTGGGGCCGTTGAGGCAGAGAGGTGGCATGGCATCATGGCTTAGAGGTTCCCAGTTAGAGCGTCATCTTTACTGTGAAGTGGCCTTAGGTCAGCTGCCCCCTCTGAGCCTCAGGCTGCTCTTCCTCCAGCCACAATCTGCTGACTATCTTAGCTGGTTGTTTTAAGAAATGTGTACATGCAAGGTGCTTTAGAACAGTGTATTTCAAACTTGGTGACTTTAAGATGTGTGGACTTCAACTTCCAGAATTCTATGCTGGCTGGGGAATTCTGGGAGTTGAAGTCCACACATCTTAAAGTCGCCAAGTTTGAAATACACTGCTTTAGAACATTACAGCTGTTGGGAATTGGCTGTTCAGGAACCTGCACGACCTGCTTCTTCCAGACCAGGAAGGCCCCATTTCAGGGAATCACAGAGGGGTCTTAAGGCCAGGGAGTCCAATCCCTGCTAAGTGCAGTAATCCTGATTAAAGCATCTCCAACAGATTGCCGGGTGCCATGAAGAGAATGACGCATGTGAAGCCTCCAGGATGAGAAGTGTGGTGTTGGTGCAATGGCCACGTATCTTTCACCTGAACTTGGGTTTTTTTTAATTGATTTTGCACTCCCCTTGTTCACGATGGCCCTTTTCCATTCCTCCTCTTCCACTTGGATCTGTAGCTGTGGTGAACGGACGAATGATTACACCGTCAAACGTGAAGGCAGTTGGGGAACTTTTGTGCTGAGATGGTACATCGGAACATGGGCAACCCCTGTTCCCCCACCCCGCCCCATCTCCCTGGCTGGGGAAGTGCAGAAGAGGGAGGGCACCAAAGCCAGTCAGTTTGCTTGTCGCGGGCTATAAAGTCAGGACAGCTCCGTTTGGCCATGAGCCGCAGCAGAGCAAGAGAGCATCACCACAACGCCCAAGAAGAGATGGAGAGAGCTGCTGCTCAGTGGTGGGAAGGACCTACAAGTAGGGAGTTCAGTTCAGAAAATGATTTGGATCTACCAGCCTGTTTCTAGATGGTTCCAACTGTTGCTGGAATTGGGGGGGGGGGTTGCCCATTTGTAAGTCATTTCTAGGTAGAAGAGTCCCCATGTGAGTTGGGGTTCACTCCCATCTGTGGCTCTAGTTCATGCAAGTGAACAACATAATCAATGTGTTAAGTGTTGGAGTAGTTGAACCATGAACCCCAATCCTGTACAAAAAACCTTAGTCAGGAAAGAAAAATTGATGTTCAGAATGACACGGTTTTTGGTTACTCTTATTGAACACTGGTGCTACTTATTCTGTTGATTTTCTTGTAAAATAAAGCTTTATTACTGGTGTTTGATCCTGTTTCTACTTTTACGGGCTGCGAACTTTGAAGGGGGAAGAAAGCAGTGTTTCTCAACCTTGGCCACTTTAAGATGGGTGGACTTCAACTCCCAGAATTCC